TTCAAGGCTGCCAATGATCATTGACACGAAGCATGTGTCTGTTCTCCACCCGTTTCTATTGGCGAGGGAAAGCCAGGTGCGAGCAAGGACAGCTGATAAGGAGTGATCCTTTTTTGTGTGTGGGAGAGAGAAATTGTCCCTTAGTATCAAGACATATGGTAGCTGTTGATGGTATGGGCAAGTGATATCGTCAATTGTAATTCGGAGAAGGACGCTTCTGCACCTTTGGAAGAGGAGACCAAGGGAGGAAACTAAAGAAAGACAGTAAGAGGTACTCTAATGCACACACTTTTCTGAGAACTGTATTAGCCAGAGACAAGTACTATGGAAGGATTTCTTGTAGACATCTCCCAAAGGATCTGAATTTCCTATTATAAGAAACTTTGAAAAATATAGTAATAGGAGGGGAGGGGATTAATTACATGCCTCTGCAGTGTATATTGGCTGCTCCAGCTGAAGATTGAAATGGCTTTTTACTATGGTTTCTAAGGTCAGCTCATATATAAAGGGTTATGTGAAGGGTAAACTTAGGGTAAACCATGCAACTCAATGGGATTTAACTTTCTTAGTACTAACTTCCTATTGTTTGTAGTGGACCTTTTTAAGTGCCTGTTTTTTCGTACTGAGATGTCATGAGACAGAGTTATGTCATCATATATGAAGAAAGAATTATGACTAATTGTGACAATTAATTTTTAACAGAATTTTAAGCTATATCTGATTCCAGACATACATCTATGATAAAAATAATATGAATATGTGGGTCCTTGGGGAAAAAGATTTTGAGTGAAGGGTAAGTTAAGATATATCATTTATTTGCTTTCTCTTAACTTTATATTTTTAATGTAATATGCATCTAAAATTGTTTCTGCTGTGTTAAAGGATATGTTTGATAGAGAATAAAGGAAATAATGAAAAAAATACTTAACATGGAAATGACGGTATTATAAAATAGTATATATTTTTGTATACAAATTGCAGAGTTTAAATAAAATAAGTTAATAAATAAGCAGTCTATTGATTAGTCGCTTCTTAAATTGCATTTATATTACAAAGGTAGTATTAATCATATTTAATTTCAAAATGTACTTTATAAAAAAAGATAATAGAAGCCAATGTCTAAATTATTGACTCTAAATTATTGAAAAACAACTTCTAACTCCAGAGTATATTAAAAAGTTATTCCTTCAAAGAAAATCATCATTGAAAATGTTCACAAAATATGTACATGGAGATAACCTGAGAGATTATTGTAGTTTTTTAAAAAGTTTATCCTTAGATATGACTTTTAAACCTTGGATCCTATAGCTAAAATGACTGGTTTTGGATTGGTGATGGATGAAAAAGTTTGTGAAACTTTTGCCTCTGCTGGCAATGAATAATCCCAACAAATTAGCAGAAAATGTGTGTGTGTGTGTGTGTGTGTGTGTGTGTGTGCATGTGTGCATGCACAAACAAATGCACATGTACACACACACCATCAAGCACAATAGGTTATAATTCCAGTGATAGAGAATATATTAGTTTAAAGTTGAATTGTGAAGTCCTTGGTGCTATCTGAGCTTAGTTATTGCTTATGGACATTCAATTATCCAATTAGGTAATATGATCAGTACATCCAGTAGGTGCACTTCATTACCTAGACAAGTAATTTAATGTCTACAAACAAATATTCAAGCCCAGGGAGCATCAAGGACCTCATCAATTATATTGAATTCCATTAACAATAATAAAACAGGCTTTAGCATCACTCTCTTATCATCTGTACTGGCCGATGTTTTTATGAAAACATTCATCTTGTGTTCTAGATTTCTTCTAATTGCAAATAAAAATGGTAACCCTTCCACTCTAAGTGTGGCTGTTCTGGCAACAAGACTGCATGTGATATCCTGTCCCACATTTCCCCCCCCCTCCAATTATTACAGTTAATTAACCAAGTAAGAGAGAGCAAAAGACTTGTTTTGTGTAAGCAAGTCCCTTGAGGTCACTCATTACGCAAACAAATACAGAACCTAAATTGCAGAACCTGACCCCAAAAGAGAGCACTTTTGTTCAACATAATTATATCTATAATCCGGATGCCAAAGGGCATGCCTGATGTTTGCCTCTGAACAGAAGCATGCTATGAGAAAATATGTGTATAAGCCTAGATCCATTCTAATATTGTATTGTGCATAAAAAGACATTGTATGCTTCATTTTCTTCTCAACACTATCTTCTTAACTGGCTATTCCAAATTCAAATGCTGTTCTTCAAAGAATGGGGTGAAAAATTATGGAAAAGCACATTTTAAGGACCTAGTAATTAATGTCCATCTGATCTCATCTTCTATGGGCAACTGAAGTAAAATTTCTGCAGATCAAATGGCAGCTGCAATCAAACCCACCTTAAGCACGAAATAATACTGGTTTCTTTAATTCTTCTGTGTTGTCAATGTAGCAGCATCTTCCTATCTGCAGGCAACTTAAGCATTGGTGTGGGCAGGCAGCTTGCCTACAGATGACATCATACATTACATGGAATATGCCAGGGGAAGCAGGAATGTTATCAAACAGCTCTTCTGTATATCAAGGTCATTGTACATAGTGTGGGAAACAGTCTAAGTTTGACGTAAGAGTTTGTATCTGGGAATGTTTAAATAATTCTCACTGTTACCACAAAGGCTAAAAGTTTGTTTTTTTATACCTGCGTACTGTAGTGTATTCTGAGACAAAACAGGATGGCAGATGCAAAATGCAGGTCCACATACCTGAATGAGCTTACAGTATAATATGTGAATAAGATAACTTTTTTTTTTTTTTTTGCTAGGAGTATACGTATGTTGCAGCCAAATGCTGTTTACTACACAGGTATGTAATTGCTACCATTTGCCCCTTTCATTATACTATCAATTTGGGCATTACAGGGAGTGTGCATAGAGCAGAGGTGAAATCTAGCAGGTTCTGACAGGTTCTGGAGAACCAGTAGAGGAAATTTTGAGTAGTTTGGAGAACCGGCAAATACTACTTCTGGCTGGCCTCAGAGTGAGGTGGAAATGGAGATTTTGCAGTATCCTCCCCCTGCCACGCCCACCAAGCCATGCCCACAGAACTGGTTGTAAAAAAATTGAATTGCACCACTGGCAGAGAAGTAAGGGAGGGGGGAGTTGGATCTTGTTAGGATTCTGCCTTCAGCCTTTGAAACAATGCATAAGTACA